ATCGATGACGTAGAGTGTGCCTAAGGAGAGTCACATGGAGAGAAAGCACTCTCTCAGGCTTTCACAGAGAGCACATTGGCCAAGCAATGGCCGTGACTCATCCACATGGCTGCACTGACAAAGGTTCTACAATCTGAGGTACAGGATCTCAGGTTAAATCCTGAGGGGATTTCACTGACCTTCTCAGACCAAAAAGCTACAACTCTTATTGCACAGGTCCTGCTTTACCGTGGTCTTATCCATCCAGTAGAAAAGTATGAAGACGAAATATAGGTTGTAATAGCCATGCTGTTATGTTGAGCTGTGGGGGACTCAGGTCAAGAATTTCTGACATTGCCAGTTAAACAGAAGACCCAATGCTATTATGGGCTACTGGACTCTTTTAGAATATTTTGCTGAGTTTACACACCTATAATATTCAATAACGGAACTTAGAAAAATAGGGTATACAGAGGAATGTCCATTTTGTATCTGTGTATTCAAAGTGGTTGGGATAGATATATAGTTACATTCTCTTAATGAATAGAATGATTTGTTCTAATGGTGTTTGTAAATAGGATCTCAAGTCCGCATCTTGTACAGCAATTAACCACTAAGAAGAATATATGCAGTGTGTTATTTGTTGAAACTGTACTTCTGATTTAATTTAAAACTGTCTCATTGCTGTTTATCAATAAAATTTTGGAAAAAAAATAAAAAAAAACCCTATCTAGGCAACTTAGCTGCTTAGTGAGCCCATATCTCAAAATAAAATAAGATGGGGTCCGGGGAGATGACTCAGTGGAATAAGCGCTTCCCTGGCAAGCGCAAGGGCCTAGTTCAATCCCCGGTTCTGCAAAATAAAAATAAAAATAAGATAAATAAATAAAATATAAAAGGGGCTAGGCAAGTGTGGCTTAGTGTGAAGGCTTTGGGCTCCATTCCTGGTACTCAAATAAAACAAAATAAAAGAAAGATGAGGGAGAAAAAGATTGTTTCCTCTTGTGCTTGCAGAGGTTCCCCGGTGGTGTGGCTCCGAGGCAGAAACAGCAGGGCAGAAGGGCCTGACAGGACAGACGAGGGCTGCTCACCTCAAGGCAGCCAGAAGTGGGGCAGGGACAAGCCCAGGAAGAACAACAGGGCAGCTAGAGCCCTGCCGTGCACTCCCAGGAGCCACCCAACACGCCCATAAGCGTACTTTCCTCCGCTGGGAGGCGTCTCTCAAGCTGATCACGCTGACCACATTGACCGTCAACACTGACCGTGTGTCCCTCCCCCTCCCAGTCCACATTGTTAGCACATGGAGTCGGTCGCCCTGTCTGTGACCTCTGCTTCGTAGACACTAGCTGTGTGACCTCAGGCAGGCTTCTTAATCTCTCTCTTGGGTCTCTGTTTAGTCTAAGGTAAGAATTATTGTACCCAGTCAAAAATTGTCAAATTAATTTTTATAGGACCTTTAAAGTAGTACCTGATATTTGTGAGCATTCAATAAATTTTAGCTATTTTTGTTTTTATCACGGGACCCATCCCTATTTGCAGTGCAGTCTTGTGAAACTTTCTCAGCTCTTCCCCAATGGGGCTGCATACCTGTGGAGGACAAGGTGAGGCTTTAATATCATGCAGGTCAGAGCTGGGTTTCTGAACAGCCCCTTGCATAGAGAAACAGGCATTCGATCCTGGCCCTCCACTGGGCCGCTGAGCCTGCCACTGAGTCTGGGCATGGTAGTGCACACCTGTAAGTCCAGCGCTGGGGAGGCTGATGGAGGAGGGTCACTATCACTGTGAGTCCAAACTGTGTAGTGAGACCCTGCACCAAATACATTAAAAAAACAAAATGCAGGCAGTGAAGATCTGTGATGTGGATGGATGAGGCATTTGTTATCCAGATATCCAAAGTATTAATAACTGGGCTTTGCTGTTTTCTCTTAGAACATGACTAACAGGTAGTGTTACTACAACAAGACTTCTTTAGAAGGAAGACAAATGCTTTAGCCAGTGTGAGTCATAGTGGATTGTCATTTATCTCATGTACAAGACTTGATAAATACACTATGAAGGTATAAAAGGGCCTTATCTCAATCTGATAAAAGTCATTTATGACCAAGCTGCTGCCACCATCCTATTAATGGGGAAAAACTGAAAGCTTTCTCTTCAAAGTCGGAAGCAAAACAAGGATGTACGCTATCGCCACTCCTATTCACCGTAGTCCTCAAAACATTAGCTGGAGAAATCAGGCAGGGGAATGAAATAAAAGGGATATGTACAGGAAAGGTGTCACCATCTGCAGATGGCATGACCCTATTCCTCCAGGACCCTAAAATTACCACTGAAAAATTGCAACAGTTAATAGTGACATTAAGCAGCATAGCACAATATAAAATAAACACAGAAAAATCAATAATCTTCCTAT